ACAAATGCTTTTACCCTCTGATTTGTTAGTAACATGGAACTTGTAGAGACAGTGTATTCCAACTATGGTCCTTGATTAAAGTGATATTCATACTGACCACAAATGTAAGAGAGTCTAACATCACAAAAGGAGGGAGGGTGGCGTTACTAACCAGCAAACATGATGATTTGGAGGTAACTTCAATTCACCCGTTTCTGTAGGGCAGAACATGTTAAATTACGCCCCCCTATGTCAAGTGGGATGTCACGGACCAACGGTATTGATGCGAATTTATTTGTGCAAAATGCCATTTTAAATCGTGTTTAAAACGCTGAATTGGTTTCACTTCCTGCCGAGCAGTCTTATTACAAGCAAACTAGATAATTCGCTAAAAACGAAGCCTGATCCATACCCTATATAATCTAAGAACAAAAAAGGTTCAAATAGCTTCGAGAAAAAAGGGAGACAGCCATTTGCACCAGAAAAATTTGTTCAGCACTATATATTTAATAATTACACATAATTTCATACTTTCAGCTTCTTTCTGAACTAACTTCATTTATACAGTTGACTAGTCGTACCGTGTCAATTAACAGTATGGTACTTAGTACTTCTGAAGAACACATTTAGACTGAAGATAGGATAATATATTCAATGTGAATAAAGACAAGTTATACAGTATGACCACGACTGCGAGGCTGAGTCATGCCATCCGAGTGAATGAATGTTCCCGAATTCTTCTTTGCTGGCCTCTTCTCTGTGTTGAATGTTGAATATATATTTTCCCAATAAGAGGATTGTGTGTTTAGGACCAATACCACTATAGCCCTTTGCGGAATCAGCCTTACAGTTACTCGTAGTTTTGAGATCGCCGGCTATTATGGCTCCCAAATCTTTACAGTTCATTACTGTGGGTAACGCGAATGCATGTATTGTGTAGTGATACGAATCATCATAGCTATTTAATTGCATCACCACACTGTTGTTAGGATTCACTTCTAGTTACCACCCGTCCATCCATGACACTAATGAGTTGAGATCATCCTGTAATACCATTCTCTCTGACATACTGTGTATGGGTCTCCAAATTTTTATATAATCGGCGAAGGGTAGAACGGATGACTTTGCTACAGTTGATAATTCATCTACATAAAGTAAAAAGAGAAGAGGACCGAGGATTTGATTTTGAGGAACTCCCCTTTTAACAGGTTACCATGATGAGAGAGCTCCATTTACACTTACCAGCTGTCTTCTGTCATAGAGAAAGTCACTTATCCAGTCTATGACCTTGCTATGGATTCTAAAACTTTCCAGTTTTAAGACAACACAGTATATCTGAACGAATGAACCTCTATTAACTTTTATAGATTACATTTACAAAACAACCCTGCTTGAGATGCATACTGTGAACCAGTAAATGTTTTAATTTGTAGATCATGCCTGTAAAAATGACGTGTACCTGCCCTTGCAGAGATATATTATTATATTTTTATATTAAAGATTCGAGTTGAAGACCCTATCAAAGGCTTTACTTGGATCTATGAAAATTATATCTAGAGGAATATTCTGATCTTTTGCTTTAGCTCAATCTTCTCTTGTAATGAGCAAATTTGTCAAACATGATAGGCCTTTCCTAAAACCATGTTGTTTCCTGGATAAAAGATTATGTCCTTCCACATAGTTATTAACATCCATTTGAATAATCTTTTCCATTAGTTTTACAACTGCACTGGTTAGACTAACGGGTTGATAGTTACTAAATAAGTCTCAACACCCCACCCTATACACCGGACTAATTATTGCATCTTTCCAGTCTTTAGGCAATCTGGACTGCCGCAGAGACATATCAAATGGTGTGGTTATAGGTTCAGCAATTAAATCCGATATGGCTTTTATAGTCCTAGGATGAATATCGTCAGGACCACTGGACTTTTCAAGTTTGAGATGTCGAAGTACTCTTGAGACAGTACCCTTCTCAATAACCACAGGATTCATCAACAAGCCTCCATAATCACAGTTAATCGTTAGTCGTTCCTCATTACTGGCAGAGAACACTTTACTGAAATATTCCGATAAAGCTTCGGCTTTTCTGGCATCATCTCTAGCCAATATTAACGGATTTTCTTGTACCAAGAGTGATGGAATTTCATCACTTCACTGAGTTCACCTTTTTATATACGAGAATGACCGTTTCTGAATATACTTAAAATTCATAACCAGTTGTTTTTCACATGACTGTCTAGTCCTACTTATTAACGCCTTACAAGCACTCCTAATCTTACAATAGCTGCATCTGTACTGTTCTAAGCCGGTAGAGGTGAACATTTTCCAGTGCTTTTCCCTACGTCTAAGAAAGTTCATGACTTGTTTAGTTATCCATGGTGGACTGTTATTCGGTCTACGTGGTACCAGGCATGGTATGAACGAGGACGTAACTGAACTAAACTTTCCCTTAAATATAGACCATACTTCTTCAACTGATGGTCAAGTATATACTGGTCAATTTGCTTTAGCAGAACACTCCTGAATGGCTGATACGTTAGATCTCCATACATTTGGGTGAGGCATAACCTGGTTTTATGTCACGTCACTAGCTCTAAACGTAAATGTCAAAACGGCGTGATCGCTATGCACTAACGGTGGAAGGATATTTTGATTGGGAACATCCTCAGTCCCATGAGTGATTACCAGGTCTAACAAAGGAGAACCTTGGTTATCACCAAAACGTGTGGGTTTGGATACATGTTGTACTATTGCATGCTCCATTATTGTTACCAGGAATCTACTATCAAAGGAGTTTATAGATCCTACAGTGGTCATCTCAGTACAACTAATATCAGGTGCAACAAAGTCTCCTAATCTCAAGCATCTGTTGTTTGCACTCCACAACTGAATGTGCTCTAAAATAATGTCATTGACTGAGCAAATTGGGCTGCAATAGATGACACTGAGTACAAATGTGCAACATCCGACAGTCAGCTCCCAGCTAATGGCTTCACAAGTTCCACTATCATTGGATTAGCAAACAGAGAAGTGGATAGTTATATTATTGACTATGTATTAAAAGGACGCCACCTCATTTCCTACATCTATGTCTACCACTTCTTAGGCAGTGGTATCTAGATAATTCTGGGGTGATATCGAAGTCATGGACCAACCAAGTTTCTGTCACAGCTAAAATGAGTGGCCTTAACTTGTCCACTAACGCTCTTAGTTCATAGAATTTATTTCTTAGACTACGAGCACTTGCATACGGAAATCCTAGAGGGGGGGGAAGGCCTATCCACACAAGCCTTGGTAGCATTCGCTCCCAAGACATGAATATTCGAAAACCAACTGATGGGAGATTTTCCTCACCATTTTGTCAAGGGGTTTGTAGTTCAGCTAGTATCGACTTCCATTTTACTCTTTTTCCCAGGGGCATATCAGGTCTTACTTGAATTTCGGTATTGTCGTGACTACGAGAGCTACCTAACAGAATATTACGTTGCTCCTCCGATCCTAGGATTACCTGATATGCCCTCATTTTTCTTGTCTTCCAAAACAGAAAATCTACGAGGACACTCCAAAAAATTTCACAATCCCAGAACGAATTACTTGTCAGCTGACTACCGACTTTCCCATCGAATAATCAACGAGCGGAATTCATTACCTCAGCACGTGGTTGAGGCTCCATCCGTCGATTCCTTCAAAAGAAAGTTGGATCAGCTGAGAGACCATCATTGCCAGGACTAACACAAGCCATCAAGCCCCCCTGTCCTTTCCAAACTGAAACTGATATAGTCGGGGTTTAGAAGCTGGATTTTGCAAGTCAATTCAGTGATTCATACCAAAAATAAGCTTAGTCTTTGCAAGTTTATGGGACATAAAGGACAGCTGCCCTAGACAACGGCCAGTCTGTCGACGTGATATTTATAGATTTTAGCAAAGCGTTTGATAAGATTTCACATTTAGGTCTTATGCAAAAGCTGTCGAGCTTTGGTATAACAGGTGCTATACAGGAATGGATAGGAAGCTTCTTATGTGACCGCAGACAGAGAGTGAGAGTCAATGGAACTCTATCCGAATGGAAACCGGTCAAAAGTGGTGTACCCCAAGGCACCATCTTGGGCCCTTTACTTTCCCTTCTGTATATTAATGAACTACCTTTATTACTTAAGTCGTCGGCGTTATTGTTTGCGGATGATGTTAAAATCTGGAGAACAATAAGAAATGAGACTGATCGTTGTTATCTACAAGCAGATTTAGACGAATTAGTTAGGTGGGCTCATGATTGGGGCCTGGAAGTTAATTCCAGGAAGAGCGTGTTCATGCACATCGGGCACGATATTAGTTACCACTATACCATTAATGGTACATCACTGCCACGCGTTCATGCGCATAAAGACTTAGGAGTAATTATAAGTCACGACTTAAAAACTACTACGCACTGCAATGCGGTTGCTTCCAAAGGCTATCGAGCGCTATGGTCGCTTCGCAGAGCATTTAAATGCTTTGACGAGGATATGTTTCGAATTTTATATCCCACCTATGTAAGGCCACACTTAGAATACTGTATCCGAGCAGCTAGCCCTTGTCTGATAAAGGATACTAAATCGCTTGAGCGTGTCCAGCGTGTAGGGACAAAATTAGTAAAGGGTCTTTCCAAACTCATTTACGATGAGCGTTTAAAACGTCTAAATCTTTTCCCCTTATCTTATCGTAGGACGTGAGGTGACCTTATACTGGCATTTCGTATCTTTAATTATGATCTGGATGTTAATATGTCTTACCTTTTTGCTCCCTCCAGCACTAATAATCTCCGGGGTCATAGCATGAAGGTTCTGAAACCGCGATCTAATAAACTAAAGGTGGGGTCCCGTTTTTCTCATCGAGTGGTCAATGACTGGAACGCTTTACCAGAACAAGTGATATTATAGTGGATGTCGAGTCGTGGACGGACTATGATCACCACTACTAATCGATTACGCGTACAAATATGACTTGGTTCCCTTGATAGCCCGTAAACAGAAGGCTTTACTAGTCCAGATAAAGTATATTTATTGGCGATCTCGTGGTATCGAAATAATACCGAGACGTGCCAAAGAGTACAAGCGGACAAGCAGTGCGTGAGCAAGCTCGAACCAAACCAGGCGGTATAAGGAACAAGAAGTGAAACGGATACAGTAAAACAATCTCTGGTACAATTGGTTACAATAATAATAATTGTTTCTATTATTCCAATCGTGTTCTTATCGAGACTGGCAGGTCACTACAGGAGCCCCCCGCTAGAAAGGATTTACACTTTCGATACGTAGCGGTTTCATTCGTGGGACTGATCGCGAAACGTGCAATTGTAGGACGAAAACGTTGGCAGAACAGGGAGTGATCGTTGATCCTCGAGTTGCCACCAAAAGTCTTTGACGTAGAACGGTACCAGAAGGAACGTGCTGTATTGATTGCTTGGATTAGCATGCTACACCAGAGTGGTTTGTATCCAGAATCTGAAGGTTGCGTTCGTAGAGGTCCGGACCAGAAACGCTGCAGACGTAGGACGAAACCAGATTGAGCCAAGGAACCAGATGCGACCAGGATAACCATGTTCGGGACCAAATGTATACCATACGTATTTGGAGCCAGAGAGGTCGACTGAGTGCGTTGACTAGAGCGTGGGTGATCAGGCCAGCTTTCGCCAAAGTTTACTGAAGTCGACGATACCGGAACAGCGATGGTCGAAGGCGTAGGCTCGGAGTAAACACAAAAAAAATGATAGAAAAAGAGAAAAGTGTAGCTTTCTTGTAGTATAGGGGTAGATTCCTATACTGTATCCATAGTTGGTTATGAGGTTAGTCGAGAAAGCGTACGGGTAAGCGTACTCGGCGACCAGAACGTGAGACGGTAGTCTCGTTCCAACCTCGTGAGCCTGCAATCTCATCCGCAGTCAAGGGAGGTGTGGTCTGTAGGTCTGGACGTGAGACGGAAGTCTCGTCCGTAGACGGGGCAGATGACACGTGCTGTTGACTGGGACGTGAGAATGAGGTCTCAGGTGCATCTAGCGTGGGATCCGAAGTAGATGTAGAAATCCCGCTAGAAGCTCTGATGGGTCTAACATTGGGTCTCGGCTTATCAGGTATAGCACTGTCATCGACGTGTGCTGGCTTGAGACGATCAATGCTGACTGTTTCGATGCGACCACGTCGATCAACCTTGAAGGTCTTTTCGTGACGAGAAATCACGTGAAAAGGTCCTTCGTAAGGCTGTTGTAGAGGTTTGCGTACCGAATCTACTCGTATGAAAACATGTGAACAGGTAGATAACTCTCGAGGGAGAGCGACCTGTCGATGTTGTATACGAGTCGACACCGGAGTCAGTGTTCGCATGAATGCAGACAGTCGTTGGACGTAGTCTGATTCGCCGAACTTAGTGCTGCTCCGTGGTGTGAAAAATTCCCCAGGCAGACGCAATGTCGTGCCGTAAACAAGTTCAGCGGCGGAACATTGAATATCTGCCTTTAAACTCGTTCTGATTCCCAGGAGGACGAGCGGCAGGGTTTCGTACCAATTGTTGTTTTCGTGTGCTCGAAGAGCACTTTTAAGTTGGCGATGAAACCGTTCAACTAAACCGTTTGATGCTGGATGGTAGGCGGTAGTGCGTATGCGTTCCGTACCAAGCAGCCGTGTTAGTGAGGAGAATAATGCGGACTCAAATTGTTGTCCTCGGTCAGTCGTGACAGTCGAGGGACAACCGTACAGAGCTATCCATCGTTCTACGAAGCGGTGAGCAACTGTCTCCGCCGTAATAGACGTGATGGGAATAGCTTCGGGCCATCTTGTGAAACGATCAATGCACGTGAGTATGTGATCATACCCGTGCGATGGTGGTAATGGTCCTACAATGTCTATGTGAACGTGATCGAAGCGAGCATCAGGCGTAGCGAAAGTGCCAATAGGGGCAGCTACGTGCCTGTGCACTTTTGATCGTTGACATTGTAAACATTGTTTTACCCACATACGGACATCTTTATTCATGGACGGCCAGACGTATCGTGCAGCGATGAGGCGTAAAGTGGCTGCGATACCAGGATGAGATAAACCATGAAGGGCATCAAAGACGAGACGGCGATAAGCGGAAGGTACGATGGGTCGAGGGAGGCCCGTAGAAGTATCACATAGGATAGTACCTGAGCTAGTAGCTAGGGGTACTTCCCGACACCGAAGGGACGTAGACTGTTGTGCTTCCGTGCATGAAGTATCGTTTGCTTGGGCGGCGGCCATAGCAGGTAGATCGAGCACTGGCAAAGTAACTGCATTCAGTTGGATACGTGATAAAGCATCAGCAACACAGTTCGACTCGCCTTTGACGTGGCGAAGGTCTGTCGTGAACTGGGAGATATAGTCCAAATGTCTGCACTCTCGTGGTGAGTAGCGGTCAGACTTGGTATGCAGAGCATACGTTAAGGGCTTATGGTCGGTGAATAAGATGAAATTACGACCTTCTACAGCGTGCCGGAAATGTTTGATGGCGCAGTAGGCTGCTAGCAGTTCGCGACCAAAAGCGCTATATCTCGTCTACGTGGGAGTGAGGCGTCGTGAGAAAAATTCGAGGGGCTGCCAACTACCGGAGATATTCTGTTGCATAACGGCTCCCAAGGCGAAATCCGATGCATCAACCGCTATACTAAGCGTGGCTGATGGGTCAGGATGCACGAGAAGTGTGGCTTGAGCTAGGGCCGTTTTGATATCTGAAAATGCAGTACGTGCGGCGTCGTTCCATTCCAGTTTGCGTGGATTACCTCGAAGTAAATCAGTTAACGGTCGTAACTGTTCTGCCGCGTGCGAAATGAAGCGTCGGTAGAAGTTGACCAAACCGAGAAATGCCTTCAGTTCCTTAAGTGTGGACGGTACAGTGTACTCCATTATAGTACGTACTTTATCCTCACAAGGTAGAATACCCTCATGCTTAATAACATGACCTAAGAATTTTATTTCCTTCTTCCCGAGTTCACACTTGTCGGGGTTGACTATTATTCCATTATCCGAAAGGCGCTGGAATAGTAGCGTCAGGTGTTGATAATGTTCATCTACGTTTGATGATGCGATTAGCAGGTCATCAATATAGACGTGAACAAAATCTAGGTCTCGTACAATGCTATCGATAAACCTTTGGAAAGTTTGAGCAGCATTCCGTAATCCAAATGGCATTCGTAGGAACTCAAATAAACCGAAAGGAGTCGTGATGGCAGTTTTCTCTATATCTTCAAGAGCGACTGGGATCTGATGATATGCTCGTACCAGATCGATCTTGGAAAAAATTGTCGTGCCCTTGAGTGATGCCGTGATGTCATGTATGTGGGGGTTGGGATAGCTATCGAAACGTGTAGCTGTGTTTAACGCTCGGTAGTCTCCGCATGGTCTCCAACTAACCCCATCCTTTTTTCGAACCATATGGAGAGGTGAGGCCCAAGGACTGTGAGAAGGACGAATAATACCAGTAGCTAGTAAATTGTCGAACTCACGTTTAGCGAAAGCTAATTTGTCCGGTGCCAGTCGGCGAGGTCTTGCCGTGACTGGTGGTCCGCGGGTGACTATGTGGTGTACCACACGATTGGTCACCAATGGAGTCTCCTCGAAAGGTTTAGTTAATTTGGGGAATTTCTGAAATAAAACGTGGAATAAATCGTCACGCGAATGAAATACACCTGTGATTCGGTACGCGTTTGTGTGGGCTTTAGAGCCCATAAAGTTGCTGTTCGACGAAATATCAATTAGCTGCAGCCTACGTGAATGGACTAGCAATTCATAGTGCTGTAGGAAATCGATACCGAGTATAGCTGTGGGAACATCGGCAATGATGAACGTCCACAGATACTGTCGTCGGTTGCTCAGGTTGACCGTAAGTTGTCGTGTACCATAGGTGGGAATGACTGAGCCATTCGCAGCGCGTAGTCGAAGCATAGTGGCTTGAGACTTACTGTTACCGATAGGTACGACAGAAACTTGGGCACCCGTATCCACAAGGTACCTAGCGTTGGTGCGATAATCGTGCACATAAAATAAACGGCCAACCTGAGGTGAAGTGCCGGCGAGTACGGCCGCATTTACTCGCCGGCTGAGAAGTTTCCCGCCTTGTATGAGCAGGGAGCTCGACAATGACGGGCACCGGCTCCGAAAGCACGGTGGAACCAGCACCAACCTGGACTCGCTTCCGAAACCGCCTTCTGGCGTGGCTTGGAAGATGCCCGCTTGGGGCGAGTCGTTACGGCTTTTCGAGATTGTGACCTGGGTCGGGGGACGTAGGGGGCTGGCACATTTGCGCGGTCTCGGAAACTGAGACGAGTATGGATACATCTGTCCCTGTCCCCATGAGCCGGAGGTCGTCTAGCATCGAGATCAACGTTAGAACGGGAAAAACTAGCAACAAAATGGTCGCCTTTGGTGTTAACTCGTGCCAGAATCTTATCTGCTATGAGGGCCACCTTGTTGAGCGGGGTGTCCTCGAGCAGAGCCGTAAGGGTTGGCTGGATACTGACTGGTAAGGCTTCGAACCACAACTCTTTGACTATCTCAGAGTCAGCTGTCATGTTTCCTGCAAGGGATTGCAGGCGCGTGAGGTGGTGGCTCGGCTTAGCATCACCCATAGGGTGACGTGCTAAAAGTGTCCTCAATCGTTCCTCTCTTGATGGGAGGAAATGTCGAAGGATGGCATCCTTAAGACGGTCATAAACGTTTGGAACGTTGGGATTGAGGACAACCTCACGGACAGCGGTTAGGTGATCCCCGGGCAATGATTCCAAAGCGTAGGCGTATTTCTGCCTTTGATTGGTTATGCGGCGGATCTCAAATTGAGATTCCAGTGCCGCGAACCAGACTTCTGGATCATGGGGGATGAAAGGAACCGGTCGGAAACTGATAACCTGTATCTCGGAGTCTATCATATTTATGTTATTCTTTTGGTTATCTACCATATTAAGTTGCCAAAATATTATATATTGAAAAAAAAATCAATACGAATATATGCAACAGATGTGGATAGATAAATAGACTCACCAGATTGATCTGGTTTGGAGAATTGGCCAAGTTTGACTTGTGCTCGATGGATTGGGTTACCAGCTGTATTGCGTGTTCGAATCACGTCGGGCTCACCAGTTATAGTGGATGTCGAGTCGTGGACGGACTATGATCACCACTACTAATCGATTACGCGTACAAATATGACTTGGTTCCCTTGATAACCCGTAAACAGAAGGCTTTACTAGTCCAGATAAAGTATATTTATTGGCGATCTCGTGGTATCGAAATAATACCGAGACGTGCCAAAGAGTACAAGCGGACAAGCAGTGCGTGAGCAAGCTCGAACCAAACCAGGCGGTATAAGGAACAAGAAGTGAAACGGATACAGTAAAACAATCTCTGGTACAATTGGTTACAATAATAATAATTGTTTCTATTATTCCAATCGTGTTCTTATCGAGACTGGCAGGTCACTACAATATCAGCACCATCAGTGAACATTTTCAAAAAGAAGCTGGACCTTCACTGGAAGGAAATCTGTCAGGATTAACACAGGTTCATCAACCTACTATCCTTATTACCGAAGACTGAAGACTTAGATGATTCATCTTATCCCAGGTCGTATTTTGAACATTGGTTTGACCTATATATTTTTACTGAATACACCTGAATGACCACATTTATGAATTATTTGACATGTTGACACTTCTGCTTTTCACTGCCATCTGTTTGGATAGCACTTTTGGAGACAGCTCATCCATAAAAAAAGAATTTTCTGTTCAACCAGGCGGTAAAAAGTATTCATCGACAATTGAAAGGGTATGGTATTTACATATACAAAGAAACAATACATTTGACAACAGGATGGAATAAAATGTACTTTCACTTATGAGTGCCAAGGTGGGACGAACGAGGTAATTTAGGTTTTTCTGATATCTTCCGCAGAAGTGGCATATGATTCTTTCGAAGATTCGAGATGATAAAGGGTACGGCTGTGTTGTGGAACGTTCTGGTAGTCAAACAAGTTACATATACTTTCAAAGCTTCAAGCTAGATGTAACGCCGCCTGTAGAAGCTTTGTCTGCTTCTGCATTTGTAAGTTACCCGGATTAAAGTACTATTCTCAAGGGTAACAATAATCAACCATTGTCAGCTGAGGAATACTATTTCAACAAAAATGAACGTTATGGTAGGTCCTGTTTATACATAATTTTGCCTAGTATCACATGTCAGTGGAAAGTTCAAAGCAGCATTAACTCGTCTCTCCCTGGAGTTTGTTTCCACACCTATGAAGCCAGAACTGTAACGTTATTCGTTTACGGTATATATATATATATATATATATATATATATATATATATATCCTTTATGTTTCAACACACAAGGAGCCATTTCCACTATTTTCTGTACCTTTTTGGACATATGGCTCTGTATATTACCGCGATTTTCTTCCAAACTATGTACATTTTAATTTGTGATTTTATAGTGTGAATTTACTATAACAATAATAGGTTTTTCGTTTTGAAATACTCTTGTAGTTTTCACAAGGGAATCCGAAATTATTGATAGATAGTAATTTTTCGTAGTGGGCTTTATCCAGGCATATTCTTAGAAACAGACTGACAAAAGATTGAGTTTAATCAAGACGTTAACCAGTTTGTAAAAGCCAATGCTATTTGAATGTGACTAAAAATGACGGTTTCAGTTGATCGTTCAGAATGTGCAGAACGGATGTTGGGCTATTTTAGGGCCAAATATAAATGAGATAGTTACTCAGAGATTATCGAACGTCATACATTGGTAACTTTAGTAAAGATACCCACAGTGGATCAAAGTGAACTTATAAATCTGGAAATACGGTGGTAGTTTGTTTTATTTCTGAGAAGGGCGTTGAACGGTGTTTAAACTAATTCAGCTTAATGTACTACTGTTTAAGATTATTTTTAATGTGAACAACTAATTTACTTCTCCCTTTAGAATAAATTTTTTTTACTTGAGGATATTAACATTCACCAACCAAAATGATTTGGACATGTGTTGCTGACCGTTATGTGCAATGACGGTTGGTGCTGAGATATGTCAGGCAAAAGCTGTGGGCGGATAAATTTAAATATAGTAACAGTCTATTAAGTCATTAAGTGTTTGTCGGTTCCGATTGTGTATGCTTTTTATATCGTTCCTATCTCATGCATCATGTTGATTTCTCATTATAGTGTGGTGAGGTTTGGTTCCTTATATCTACACTATCTTGTGCTAAATCTACAGGGATAAGGCTAACCTGATAAATTACTAGTCAAAAACGTTTTATTTCAGTCATTTGTTTGTGATTTCGTTCCACTTTATTTCGGTCACACAGAATAGCCATGTAACGTTGGCCTGCTTGTCGAAGACACTGACGAAATACATTAACGCAGGCATATTTGGGATGTGCTTCTTTCTCTCTAAATGCACGGTGCCTCTTCAGGACTGGTGTGGGGGTAGATTGGTGATGGGTACGAAGTAGTTCAGATCGTCTTCTGCCCTACTTATCTTGGAAGTCTCATTGACTGGAATGGTTGGGCCACATATTATGCATTCGTAACCACCGGCTCCAGGTGCGGCCGCCTAGAAAAACCACCTGCTTTGATCTGGGCACCCGGTAAGTATCATAACCCTCACAAAATTAAAATGATTACTGGATATACTACTCGTAGATAGGAAAAATGTTTGCTAATTTAAAGACGAGTATAGTGTGCAGTATTTCTGCGTCATTATTTGTGGCTTTAAGGCATGGGGTTTAGAAGTAAGATATATTCGTAAATCACTGGTGTTTGGTCATTGACCGTTTCAAAGCATGCTAGGATCACCGAGTAGGCGATACTGGGTTTCGACTTCAGGTACTGTGTAAGTATCGCGGATCAGTTGTGAACCCTCATCGATTGGTGTGATTAGGGCATGTGTTGCGTCTACCAACCAGCGGGCTCGTATAGTGAGGATCAGTCTTACTTTATGTCTGTGAAACATGGTCTATATAAATAGACTGTGAGATTTTGATCACAACTGTGTTTGGAGCATTGTTCTGGTTTTGTGGAGCGGACGAGTGAGCAGTGTTCAGTTTAGGCATAAGTGGCAGATCGACTGAGGCGGTTAGGGCAGGTGTTTCGTATGCCTAACTATTGCCAACCACGAAGAACAATGCTTGGTATTTCATGAGTAGCACGAAGGAAAGTTCCAGGCGACCAAACGAAAACGTGGCATGAGTTCATGAAGTGATTAACTGTTGGTCTGTGTCATGGTTAGCGGTTGGGCGATTATCCTAACGAATAGTTAGAAACTTTGGGTAATATGTATGCCTAATAATTTCTGATACTTCTGTTTTTCTTGACTTAAAAGCAGCATTTGACTCTTTAGACCAAAAAGTACTACGGTAGTATCTATGGCAGAAAAGAGTACCTCTGAAGTACATAGACCTTATGAAGGCTTTTTGCTCGAAAACTACCAGTCGAGTGAGAGCTTATGACCAAATGTCATCTGATTTTACAACCTCAAGTGGTGTCCGACAAGACTGTCCACTATCCACATTTTTGCTTCACTTCATCATAGACCTACTGCTAAAAATAACACTCTCCTCGACTGAATTTTCAAGGTCCACTTATCTTCTTAGAATACGTAGATGACATAGTCCTGTTTGGTGAAGACGCTGATAAAATGCAGTCTTTTGTTAGAACTGAGCAATAATGCCAGAATGTTTGGGATGCCTTCCCCTCTCAATGCAAGTTTTTGCTTCAGAACTAACCTGCTTCAATATCTGAACTAAGGATAGGAAGTGGAGTAGTTGAACACGTCGACAACTTCACTCGGAAGTGTGATCAGCCCTAATGGGTTGGTGTCTGACGAAATCTCAGCACGTATTCAAAATGCTCGTTTGGCTTTTGCCAACTTACATCACCTATGGCGAAGATGAGATATCCGTCTACCAATAAAAGGACGAGTATATTGCACGGCAGTTTGCTCTGTTCTACTTTACGGTTGCGAAACGTGGCCATTAAGGATAGAAGACACTCGTAAGTTACTAGTATTTGATGACAGATGTATTAGAAATAATGCCGGCATCTGTTGGGATCACCGGGTAAGTAATGGTGAGGTTAGATGCAGGGTATTAGGGAATGATGGTAAATCAGTTGATGAGGTTGTAAATCTACACCGACTGAGATGGTTGAGCCACGTGTTGTTACCTATGCCTGAATACCGATTACCACGACGTGCAATACTGACTAGTGTTGGGGATGGTTGGAAGTTAAGGGCGTCCATACCAAACGTAGCATCAGTCCTTGAGGTCATTAGCTTCTAGTCTGAACAATGTTGGTAGATGCAGACTACTTGGTTGGGGTCCGCGTGACTATCGTAACCAATGGTTGGAGACTCTGTGTGACATGGCTCAGAATCGACCACAATGACGTGGGTGTATACACTTTGTTTTTCCTTAACTCATGAGATTACAATTACACTATATCTTTCTCTCTACGAACTAATTCTCCTTGTATTATATCTTTATAGCCAATCTTTCTTTTATATGTTACTACTATTGAAGTAACTACTATGAATTTATTGTGCTCATGAGGTGTGACAACTTTGACCGATGCATATATATGCCTGGTCCTACGTTGTAACTGACTGACTGACTATATCCCGACGAGAATAATGAATGGTAACTGTTGGGATCTATCTATGAACTAATACTACACATATATTTTTACTGTATAATCGTTAAGTAACTGGATTTTTTATATTCATAGTCCTCTTATCATAAACTTTATTTTGACCTGCAGACTATTATTATACGATTTACTATTCCAAAGTTATGCCTAGTATATTAATTGCGGTCTCCCGCAATCACAGTCAACTTTTAGCTTGATCTCGTACGAATATTATTTCCTATTTTATAGTGTGACATGGTCTATCTGGCTTGTTTATAAACCAGGTATGCTTGAAATAAATGATTCGCGTAGTGGAAGCTGGTACTGGTATTGTGGACTCAACTGGCAGAGAAAGGATGGAAAAGGACCAATAAGGACGCTAGATTGCTCATACCGGTCGATACATCATTGGTTTGGCGCAGCGTCAAGATTATATAAGTCGTATTCCTACTGGCGAATAAGCCACGTGATATTTAGCCGGCTAAAAGACAAAACAATTACTACTTATGCTTCTCTGGGATCTCGCTCTGCTGGTGGCTTGACAACTTCGGCTAACGCATACATGTTTTAGGTTCTACGTTGTACATGACTAATTCACTTCGGTCAGTCACGTAGTATTCGTAGCTTTCACACAAGAAGTATGGGTCAGAGATAAGTACTTAGATTCCGAGATTATCCACTGTGTTACTACTGGAACCAAGTTTGCCTGTCCGGAGTTACTTTGGGAGTTTCGTTTAGAAGTGGTCATTTAGGTATACATATCTTAACAGTGTCACTTTGTTCCGTACTCGAGCTTATTGCATAACGACATGGGTTAACAAAAATATTTTGGTATTGAGATGATTTCCACCAAAGTGATCACCATTTACAAAACCAACCATGGGGACCAGTAAACAAATATTCTTACTGTACACAGAAAACGTTTCAAAGATATAAGCCAAGTTGTTAAGATCCTTAGAAATAGATGTGTCCCAAAAATTCACCAAAATATTATGCAAAATCAGAGGGTGATAACAGATGTCATCTTAGAATATAAACTGCAAAAATTGCTAGGAATATTACATCGGGAAAAAAGATCACCTGCTCCATCTTCACAGGTACGAGATGACTTTCAAACAACACGACGTCTTCGATTTAAAAAAAAAATGTAGACAACTATGGATATATGGATGCAACTGAGGAAGAGTTAGAATATATTAAACAGAGACAATGCATATAGAACCAGTTCACTAGTATTATGATATTCAAAAATCAATAGGCACGTTGAAATAGACTCAATAGCCAATAGAATTAATGACAGAGTCACCATCAAGAAAGAGAATAATCAGAGTAAATGTGCAGATAATAATAAGTTAACAATGGACAATAACCAGTTATAGCAACCTGTCAGCTATTAGTAAATATGTTTTAATAGTACCTTTCTTTTTCGGCTTTTGTTGATACTGTTGACTCAAATATAATTAAAACCTCACAATAAAACCATTTAGCTTATGGAATGTAGAACTTTCAAAATAGTTTATTTTGAACAATAAAAACATGACTGAGTAAATGCCATTACCATTATTGAATTTGATCATTTCAAGTAAGTTGACTATATTAATTCATACGACCGGTATTTTGTTG